ACATATGAGTGAGTTCAAATAACTTTTTCACTACAGGAAATTAGTTTTTTGCAGCGGACTTTGTGGTGGATTTTTTTGGTCGAAAATGGTTGCGGATTTGCGACGGAAATTTTCAACAATCCTTTTGCGGCAGAATATCAGCCGCAAATTTGCAACGGCAAATCCGACGCTAACTAACCTATCTAACTGATTGAGTATGTATCTATTTCATTTGTTCTATTTTTTTTTCTCATTCAATTTTGGCTCCGGTGCTTCTTAGCCTCTTTTGACAACGTTCCTTCATGTGGCCTCTTCTCCTTCAACGACGACATTTGCATTCCTATTGCATCCAAAGTCACCACCTTCGACGATGTTCCTTCCTGCTGCATCCTAAGTCACACCTCTCGTCCTTCTTCTCTCGCATCCGAAGTAACACGTCCTTCGTGACGACATGAGCTTGGTCTTGCGAAGGTATCCAATTTTCTCATTTTTTGTGCTTCTTCGTCCAAATCCGATAGCTGAACTCCCTCCTTGCCACCGAGCTTTGTTGTGAATGTATGCTTTTTGTTGATGATATTCTTCTTTTTGATAAGATTTGAGAGGGAGTTGAAAATAAACTTGAATTATATAGGTCAACTTTAGAGTCTAATTGTAGAGATTGTGACTTTGGGCGATCAAGTCATTAATAAGGTACACGTTTTAGATATCTTGGGTCTATTGTTCATAGTGATGGTGAAATAGATGAAGATGTTATTAGCAGAAATTAAGTTGGATAGCTGAAGTGGAGGAATGCATCAGGCTTGTTGTATGATAAATAAGTCCCCCTTAAACTTAAGGAAAAATTCTATAAGTTGTGGCGAGACCTGTAATGCTTTATGGTGCAAAATGTTGGTCATTAAAAAAAAAGCATAATATTAAGTTAAGAGTTACAGAGATGAGGATGCTCAGGTGGATGAGTGGCTTTACTCTTAGAAACAAGATACGAAATGAGCATATTCGTGAAATGGTTGGAGTAGCTCCAGTGGAAGAGATAATATTAGAGAGAGTTGCCTTAAATAGTTTGGTCACATATATGCTCATTTTGTATGTTGAAGTGGAGGAATGCATCGGGCTTTGTTGTGTGATAGAAAAGTCTCCCTCAAACTTAAGGGAAAATTCTATAAGATGTGCTGAGACCTGCACTGATTTATGGTGCAGAATATTAACCATTCAAAAAGAGCATAATATTAAGTTAAATGTTGCAGAGATGAGGATGCTCAGGTGGATGAGTAGCTTTACTCTTAGAGACTGGATACAAAATGAGCATATACGTGAAATGGTTGAAATAGCTCCAGTGGAAGATAAGATTAAAGAGAGTCACCTTAGATAGTTTGGTTACATGTATGCTCATTTTGTATGGTTGAAGTGGAGGAATCTCACACTTAAGAGAAAATTATATTAGATGGTGGTGAGACCTGCAAATGCTTTATAATGCCAGATTTTGGGCATTAAAAGAGAAGCATAATATTAAGTTAAGTGCAGAGATGAGGATCTTCTGGTATGTGAAGTAACATTATTTAATTTTCTTAAAATAGATACAAATCTCATTGTTTGATTGTAGGAATTTATAGCTTAAGTGTCTTATGGATATTTAAAACTATAGAAGTTAGATGTATAATCAACTGTTAACTGATGAATTTTTGAACAGAGTGAATTATTTCATTCATGCAGGTTGTTAATTACTTTCATTTATATCATAGGGAAGATTTTGTTTCCCACCATAAATTCCATCATTCTACTATCCACCACCCCCTCAGCCCCCTACAACTAGACCTTCCTCTCAAACTACAGCTTGACCTTCCACGCAGACTACCGCAGCACCGAACAATAATGGGCGCATGCTGATTCAGCCCGAGGGTGACACATATGTAATGTATGTTTTATATTATGTAGATATTTGAGAAATAATATTTTAAATTAAATGTTTTGTGTAGGTTTTACCCATCAAACTAGCTTATGCAGAAGATACAGGATATCATATGAAGCAGATTTGATGCTCCATATATTTCTTGGAAGAAAATCCCGAACAAAGTGCACGAAATGTAGTTTAGGGAGTTTGAGGTTAGTAAGTTACATTATTGTTAACATCTGTCCATCTTTTATTAAGCTAGCTAACAAAGAATAATTTTTGTTCTAATTTGTTATATACAACGAGATTTATACTGGTTGCCATAGCATTGCACTTGCATCAGAATAAATTTTGAGAAACGCCAAGCAAATCACCTGCGAGACATGTTCACATGCATTAGGAGGGCATGCGAGCGACAATTTTGGATTAGGGAGGGTGTATGGGTCTTGCTTAGTACTGCTTGGGGTTGCCCAGATTATACAACGAGGAGGGAGCATAGCAAATAGAATCAAGGTTTTGACGTTGGGGGTTTGGGTATCTCCCTTGATACTGGGGGCTTAGTTCCACATATTGAGTACAGACGAAGATTGGTAAGAATTTTAACAGATCTTAATATTTTTTTTGGTTTTGCGTGATAATCTCAGTATATTGCATAAGAAGATGCTGGGTAGAGAACCCCTTACTGTTGAGTTGCACAGTCACACTCACAAGCGCTAGGAGGACTAGTAGTGGGTGGATGAGCGAGCGAGGAGGGCCTATGTAAGTATATAAGGTTACAATTCTTAGAGAAGTATTATAAGTGACGATTATACGATGATTAATATTTTGTTTTAGAATGGGTATACATGGCTTCGAGAGAGTCAAACTACAGCTGGTGAGGGATCCTTTGGGGGTTCCATAGATATATCTGAATTTAACAATTGGTCGCAGGCGGTAGGGGAATGTAGAAATGATGAGTTTATGGATTAGGCTCGCAAGTCTATGCGTATGAGGGAAAATCCTCTTATACCTCCAACTACTCTGCAAATAGCCAAAATAGTTTGTATAGTCAATAGGTGGCTAACTTGACAACAGAGCTAAAAATTGTCCGAAAATCACATGCGGACATTAACATTCAGATAATGGATGAGCTTCAGAGATTGAGAGAGAAGATATGTGGAAATCAGCGAGCAGGAGAGTGAGGATACATATTCCACTTAGATTTTTTAGTAGGTTTTTTATGCATTTTATTTTTTTTATGTATAAGAACTATGTTTACTTTAACAGTGTTGTAATAATTGCTTAACAATTTGAATGTGATTGTCTATATGAGCAATTGGATTGTGAATATAGAACATTGTGTTTCTTATGTTTATTTTAGTAGTATTTACTGGAATATTATCATTATTAACTACTACTTTTAAACTGCTTAGATTGTTATTTTTGGAAAAAACTTAATAACTGACTGTATGTATTTTTTTGTGTATGCTATAGGTTTATGGCGGATTGCGGCATAATTTTTGGCGCAAACTTCGAAACAATGAAAGTGTATCGTATTTTGTAGCGGAATATTCCACTGCAAATCCGTCATAATTTGCGGCGGAATCAGCGGCGGGAACCTAAATGTGGACGTCATTTTCTGTAATTTAAATCCGTCGCAAAAAATTTGCGACATATTCTGTCCGTCACAAATACTTTTACGATGCGGCTTTTACCGTCGGAATTTCTACCACCTCAAATCAAAATTTGTGGCGGTTTTGAAATCTGCCGCAAAAAGCTGATTTTTCCATTGTGTTTCATGATTTTAAATATTGATTTGATTGTTGATAATGCATATCAAGTTTTGTTTTTATTATGCTTTTTGGCTTTTGCTTCTATAAGCATTTTTCTTATTCCAAATTTTATGATCGACAGGTTAATGTTAAAAATTTGCTTCTTTCTAAAGAGGTGATTTTTGAGCTTATGGATTATTGGTTGAGGGAGATCTTTTAAAGGATGATCTATTTCTTATCATGTTAAATATAAGCCATAGTATAATGCTTGCTTCTATTATAAGAAATGATACATAAAGAGATGTTTTTATTCTTTGAAGAGGAAAGGGTACGTTAATGATATCCACAAGGGCAATAATTTAGCAAATACTATTTTTTGTTGTAGATTAGTTTGATTTAGATATAGGTGATACTTTTTTCGTGTTTGATGGAGTTAACATCAATAATCAAATGATTTGGTTTAAACTCGCTTATATTATGTAACAAAGAGTTATTTCACTGATGAATTATGTTCTTGTGACTATATTTATATGGTTTTTATGATAGTCAGTTTTGGTATAATGTAGTTAAGGATGGATGTTTGTGTGATTGGAATATTGGCTAGAGTTAGACATGTATTAGATCTTAGAAAGAGATATATTTGAGGGCTTTTAGTTGTACATGACATGAAATTCTTAGGCGATGCTAAGTAAGAAAGGTTTTGTAAGAGTGTTGGTTGTCATGAAAGAAAAGATTTAGTGGACTCTATTTTATGGTGGAATTTGAGTGGAGTTACTATAGTTTTATCATATGTGGTGGAGTACTTTGATTTGAAGAAGTAGAAAAATATTAGATCCTTTGGTTGAAGTAGTGACATTTAGAGCTGTTTACGTGAATCAATCTTTATGTTGCATGGTTTTTCCCAATGTCATATTGTATTATTGCAAAATTTAGCGCAAAGAGACAACTACTTCAAGGATATTAAAGTTGAGGCGCACTTCGATTTCAATGGATCCACTTTGATGTCTAACAAACATATTTTGAAGTTCTCTTACGTTTGCTAATTTCAGGTGTTATTTTGGTTTTCTGAGATTGCGCCATGTTTAACCTTTTAGAACTTTGGGAGCTCAGAGTTCTGACTTAGAGATGTCATTGAATAAATTCAGGTTTTTTTGTCACAATATTGTGTCAAATAGGAGAATTATAATGTGGAAGAGTATGAACTAGGATACGTTTTGTTTTCTTTCATCCAATCTGTATTATCAATTTGAAGAATTTATTTACTTTTATCATGAAATCATTAAAACTCAACCACTTACCTAATCCCAGACTGGTATTGATCACCAGAAAATGTTTTGGTTTTGTGATGGTTGAACCTCCTGAACTTCTTTTTTTTTTTTCAGGTACTGGAAGGTGAAAGGCTTACATTAACAGTTTGGTTTACCCGTAACAGCGCCCATGACGAGGATGCCAAACTAATCTCTCTTCTTTCCCAAAGGTTTTCAGACCACGAAAAAGGAAAATCTTATTCTTTCTCTCCTTTGCCAGCATCTGATAACATGTATTGGTTTTCCAATGGCATTTCGGGCTTTGATATACGTTGTGCCAGGATTCAAAATCTTGGGTTTAGGATCTGCTCATCAAAACATCAAGAGTTTAGTACATCCGATATGGAAGCTGATCCTTTGGAACTACTTAACATGCCAATACGTCTTGCCAGAGGTGATGAGATATTTGACATGGAATTCCTCAACAGCTTGCATGGGCTGCAGGTAATCAGTGCTAATCCATTGTTTCTTCTTCTTGAACTTAAAAGGATACTGATGGTGATGTAATATCTTACCAAGGCTTCATTTGGGACGACTTTTTTGTTGTTTCTTAAAGCTGCTTTCTAGTATAAAAATTTTAATTTTGTCCTAAAAAAGCTTCTTTAAGAAGCAACAAAAAGGCCTTCCCAAACGAAGCCTAAATGTCTTCTTGTCCAAGCTAATGCTATTTTTAGTATTTCATGATCAATTATGGTTTCTTCGTACAGGTGGTTCAATTTTTCCATCTGAAATTATCAGACCTGATAGCATCAAGAGAAAAACAGGACGGTGACACAGAAACAACCGAACCTCATCTCCTGGACAAAGTGAATGGCTTGGAATTGGTTTTACCTTGTGACCATCAACTTGCAGAGAAAGTTCTGGGCTCCATGTCCTGTGATAATGAGGCCTTGTCTTTTAGTTGGGTTGCTTTTAAACTTGCAGTCACAAGATGGGAGGAATATATGTTCTCACTTTATAAAGAGCTGTTGATGCTTATTCCGCATTGGGTATTCCATCAGATTATCTTTTTGGCTCCTACAACTGAACAACTCAGCTGTAATCAATTTTCAGGTAAGTAACTTTTTGAATAATTTACCAGGAAATAGGTTTGTTTCAGAATTGGGGTTAATTTAAACAATCTTTGCCTTTTTATAAACCCTTTTACAGGTTTTGAGGAGCCTTCACAAAACAAATTACAAAAATGAGAATTGTACAGGTATGAACATGTTATTGTAATGATCGCCTTTTACATGTTTTTATATGGGAAGGATTATGGAACAATTGAAAGGTCAACCTTATTTTAAGTTTCTGATTGTTCTATTATATTTATTATCTTGTCATTTTTATAATTTTTTTTTCTAAGAGTCATCTACTTTCTGATTATACTAACAATCTTAATATCATTAGTTTCTCTTGCTCAGTTCAAGTTCTTCTAATTTTGTTCTGAAATTCGGAATATGCTATCACCGATGTTGTTCAATCATTGAAAATTATGAACCTTTCATCATAATCAAATCATATTTATTTGACTACTGCACATTTAGACTTCATTTGGAATGGCTTTCTTACTGCTTCTTAATGCTGCTTTCTAGTAAAAAAATTTAATTTTTATATTAAAAAGCTACTTTAAGAATCAATAAGAAAGTTATCTCAAACGAAATCTTAATTATTCCCAGAAATACAAAATTCAATTTGAGAACTCTCTGCTGCTAGATTGGTAGTAAGGCATCCAGTTCACCAACCACACAGACCATCACCTATTTGATTAACTTCCATTTTATTTTTGGTTGTTGCAAGCTTTAAAGGTTCACATAATTTAGGCTAGATTTATAAATAGGATTGATAAAATACTTTTATGATGCATAATCTAATTTTTTCACACTCAGTCAAAAATTCTTGTTGAATATTTCTGAAATAAACATTATTATCTGTTGTTAAATGAAAAATCATTCTATAAATATATGTAAGATTTGACAGGTTAAGCTTTCCATTGACAGAAATGACAAGCTGCCGACAGTTTTGAATAGTAACCAAATGTTATCCATTAATTGGCTAGCCTGGAGCTCTGGACTGCCCAACTATTAACACAAAGGTAATTAAGCTTCTTGCAATGGTAGTTTTCATATAAATTGAGTGGGAAATAACAGGAAGGTCATGTAGTTATTATAGATATTTGATCATATTAAAAATATATTAATTTGAAGCATATAATGGCATGCCTGTATAGCTGGGCTTATCCTGACTGGAAATTTTATATAAGAAGTCTTCTATTCTGTATATTAAAAATATTCTCCCTTTTCTGCTTAAATATATTCATGAACCATTATAAAAAAAGGATCTTGTCAGCCATTGCTCCCATTGCTTCATTTCAGGCTTTTCTTATTGAAGGTTTATGGAGCTTGATTCTGTAGAGAACTGATTACTCAGCTTTTTGTTGTTTTCTAAGGCAACTTTCTAGAAATTAGAAATTTTTGTACAAAAAAGCTGTTTTAGAAAGTAGTAAAAAGTTGTCTCAAACGAAACCTTAAATTGATGGACTTGGAAGGCAACACTAAAAGATTTTAGTATTTAAAAAGCATCATTTCATGTTGTTATTGTCCAAGCACTGTAGGGAAATGTGTGATATGGATGAAGGATTGTTGTTATAAAGTCAGTTGGGGATGGGGGAGATGCTTGTATCATAACTAAAAGAATTATATCGCCCCCACATCCTTCTTTCAACCACCAACACTCACGCACGCACGCACGCATATTTCTCTCCACTGCAAACACGGGACCCTCTTTCATAATAATAACAACCAACCATCTCCTGCTCTGAACATATGGGAACTTAGGCTTCGTTTGAGATGATTTTCTTTCTGCTTTTTAAGATGACTTTCTTGTACAAAATTTTTAAATTCAAGAAATTTTTGTATTAAAAAGCTGTTTTAGAAAGCAAGAAGAAAGCTGTCCCAAGCAAAGCCTTAATCTTCTTAACTCTACTCAAAGTTTGATTAGGTGCATGTGAATTTTTGGGAACAAATAATACTTTAATGACTATTTATTGGCACAAAACTTGATTAGTGGATAAATATACCCACTAATGAACATTAGTTAATTATCACAACACCTTCAATCCAATTGTCAAGCCTATCTCTGAGCAACTTGTTATAACATTAATGTTAATTAGTATTGGTGCCTCCAACTCAATGTCGACAACACTTCCATCCAATGTCATCTCTTCCTAGATGTTTTAATGGTTTAACCCCTCGGCTTCATCAACAAAAGACCATCTTAAATTTCTGCAAGTGAAATCATCTTTAATCTCAACAACTCTTAAAGCTCCTAACCAATATATCAAGATGAGAAATTTAACCTTTTAGTTCGACGCTACCCTTACGAGTTCGATAAATATAGAATTGTTATGGACAATTCATAATGCTTCTTACATCAAGCCATATGAGATGTAGGCATATGAGGTCTTGCTTGGTGGGGTATCTTATTGAAATAATAACAAGAATAATTTATCCAATATAAATTAATCCAAGTTTTAATTTAAATTTGTAAATACTAAATGATTTTAAGGGGTCAAAAGATAATATATTAAGAGAGAGAGAGAGAAGTATAACTAAGAAAATGCATTCAAACTTAGAAGGGAGAAGTCCAAATCCCAACGGCAGAGGCAGAGACAGAGACAGAGACTCTCATGCACTTTAAATGCTAAGTCTCTCACATTATTCATTGCATGGAGAAAGTAGAGCTAATAAATTGAACGACCAAATTGTCAGCAAAACATGGTGACAATGAGGAAGTAAAAGTTGGCCAGCGACGTGAGAGCACGATGAGCCACTGAGCTTCTAACCCTACCCTCTCATGGGACCCACTAAAAATTAAATATTTTATTTTAACATATAACAGCACTTAAAACCACAAAATTACACTTAAACTTTCGTAATTAAGAAATTAACACAAATTTCAGCCATTATTCCCATCTCTAACCCCTTCTAATTGAGGAAGCTACTCAGCCTTTCTTTTTTGAAGTAAAAAATATTTTAATTTCCTCAAAATAAGATTTTGTTTGGGTACATTTTTTTACTATTTTCATAGTTATTTTTTAGTACTAAATTTTATAAAAACAGCAAAATAGTAATGATCAAAAGCTATCTAAAATGATAACTTTTTTTATTTTCTTAAAATAATTTTTTTAAATTAACAATTTTGATATTAGAAATCTATTTAAAAAAAACAATAAAAAAAGATATTTCAAATAATACATTTTTTGTAAAATTTTTTTAACTAAAATCTGTTTTAAAAAATAATAAAAAAATTATCTACAAACAATAAAAAATTATAGAAATTTGTGGTATATAAAAAAAAATAAAAGTGTTCGTAGCTCAATGATAAAGGAATGGATTACAAAATCATTTCGAGGTCCACTTTCTCCTTCATTAATGGACATCTTTCTCACCTCTCTTGAGTCAGTTCTCTGAGAGTCTGACAAAGCGAAAAGAAAAGCCCTGTTGCCTTCCGACCCTTTCCATTAATGAGTCCTGCATCACTTGTTGGGAAGTGGACCCCTTTATCTTTCTCATTATTTTCACACCATACTTAACAGCTTGCACTTACAGGCTCCTAATTAAGCCTCTACTTTCTCTTGCCTAATTACTAATTACCTTGTCTAATACTGTGTTTAATTCATTAAAATTGATTAAATTATCATTAAAATTGTTATAAGAGCTCTATTTATTTGTGTTTGGTGCTGAAATATTTATGATGATAGGTATCATTTAATGTTTTAGGATTATACAATTCTTTTATTTGCATATATAGATAGATTGAGAGTAATCTGTATGAGATATTATATTTTTACATAGAAAATGTATTAAAGAAAACATCATACAGTTTAGCTTGGTTGAGTTAGATTTTACATTCTCATGTAGTCATATGCTTTAATATATACAAATTGTATCAAATGTTATGCTTGATAAGATGATATTTTCCTCTTCTTTTTGTTAAATATCGCTATTATAGTTTTATAACATGTTTATTTAGAATACTATATTGAGATTGATTCCATAGTGGGCATGAGCAACTTTGTTGAATAAAATGTGTGTGGGCGGGTGTTTGATTTACTTTGTGTTTATGTATTTAATCAAATCTCACTCGCTAGTAACTCAAGTTGAACATTTTCGTTTATCTTCTCCAATATGTTGAAATTGAGGATGATGAAGATCATGAAGATGAAGTTGATGAAGCACAAAGAGTACCTCAGACTTTTGCGGGCAGATAGTGATGAACCAGAATGCTCTTTGCTTAAGTTGTGCAGGGATTGACCTACAGGGTTTTGTAGATTCTGATCTTATTGGAGATTTTGATGGTAGAAGAAGCACAAAATATTATATCTTCATTTTGGGAAAGACTTGTAATAATATCCTGTATTTTGACTTTTCCAATATTTTTTTGAAGTCATTATAACTCAAAATTATCAATCGTCTTCGCCATGGTATTTTGGTTGGAGTATTTTACTTACACGAATTTTTTCGTAATTTGTAGACACATGTGAAAATCTTTTAGGAATTTGTACCTATCGGTACAAGTGAGAATTTCGAGACTGTCATGTATCCGTTTTACAAACTGATTTCATTGATATTTTTAAAATAAAATGATTTATTTTATGGATATTTTTCTGTAATTTTTGGAGTCCTAAAATGATTTATTTGAATTTTATAATAATAAATTTATTAAATTTATTATATAATATTATATTATTATTTAAATCATAAATATCTAATAACACTAATATGAGTTATTTAAAAATCCTTTTTGCCTTTTCCTTTGTTCCATTTGGCATGCCAGAGAGATGTTTTAAGGATTTTGAGAGAAAAAGAGAAGAGAGAGAAAAGGGAAACTCAGATTTGGAGGCTACGATGCGATTTTCGTCCGTCGAGCCAGTTGGGAGACTTACTCGCCTCGCTGTAAGGAATTCATATTCTATTTCTGATTTCAATGATTTGATGTTTTTTAAATGTTTCCGCTAAAATTTATGTTTTAGTTACCGAAAAATGTGAATAACTTTGTATTAATAAAATTTTCACTGCGTAACTTTTTGTATGTTATAGATATCATGATTATAAGCATTTTGAGTATTTCTTCGTGATTTTTCACCATATGATTTTGAAAATACAACAATTTTTGTCTACCCAAAAAATTTATTTTTGACACCTAAGAATAGTATTGTAGTACAATAAAAGTCTTAAAATATCATTTTATACAATTCCTGATATTTTAATAATTTTCTAAAAATGTACATTTTTTCCTAATAAGATTTTTTATTCTTTACCGTTATGACATTTTGACATCTTCTTAATGAAGTTAAATTATATATTATTTTTTGCAATGCATTAAAAATAAATATGGATATTTGCTTGAGTAATAGCTGGTCGTTATTAATGTTATAATATTGTGATAATAATATACGTGTGTGAAACAAATAAGTAAAGACTGGTTGACCCGTTGGTTGGAGACTAATTGACCTATACAGGAAGGTGGGCTGATGAGCTTTCCTTTAAATACTGCAGTTTGGTGTTATCGTATAATAATTCACGTGATACACTGATTGGGAGTTATAATGAGATTATTACTTTACTGATGAGCAAAGAGTGTTGACTCTATTTACTAAGCCAACGATTTACTAACACTGAAAAATATTGTGATAGTCAAAACTTCTTAATTGTTTAGTGTGACTAATGAAATGCATGTTCCAATAAAAGTCTAGAGACAAGCAGAAGTCTAACGATGGGCGGAAGTCCGATAACGGGTAGAAGTTTGACGTTGGGTAGAAATGCGATGATGGTTGGCGGTCGGGTGGAAGTCCGGTGACGGTCGGTGATTGGGCGGTTGTCTGATAACGGTTGGGCTAAACTCTGGCTGTAGTCGGTGGCCGGGTGGTGGTCTGACAATGGTCGAACTAAAATTCAATGGCTTGGTGGTGATCGGTTGTCGAGCGGTGGTCCAACAAAGGTTGGGCTGAATCCCAGCGACCGGGTGGAAGTCCGGTGATGGTCGACGGCTTGGCTGTGGTCTAATGATGGTCGGGCTGACGTCCGGTGACGATTGGTGGCCAGATGGAATTTCGGTGGCAATCGGCGGCCGGGCGGTAGTTCGACGAAGGTTAGGCTGAAGTCTGGCGACGGTTGGCGGTCAGGTGGAAGTCCGGCGGGTGGTCCGACAAAGGTTGGGCTTAAGTACGGCAGCGGTCATCGATCGGGTGGAAGTCCGGCTACGGTCGACGGCCAGGAGGTGGTCCGACGATGGTTGGGCTGAAGTCCGGCGATGGGCGGCGGCCAGGTTGAAGT